GAATTAGAACTGCAATTAAGCAAAATATAAAAAGTAATACCATGTAAATGAAGTTCTGGAACCATTTTAAATTTCTTATGAGGAGGCAAAGATACAGCTTTTAGCTTCTAAGATTTAGTGACAAGTTTTCTAAATTTCAATCTTGTAATTCTTAATCACTAATATAAGTACCGATGATGCCTCGACTGTGGCAACAATTATTTTTTGGTGTCATTCTATTCAAGATAGAGAACCACTTAAGCAAGTTGGAACCTACATTGCACCTAGTCTCTCAGTTTTATATTCCTTAAGCCGTTAAGCGTGCCTCTAACAATACTGACAGTGACTTGGATGGGAAGAGGGCAAAGGGTAGTGCTGGTGGGCCTGGTTAAAGATTAGGGTGGTGACAATGGAGACTGATGTCTAAGGATCATTGTTACCATTATTTTGATAAGTTCTCTTGAAGGATCGTCTCTTTTTCTCCTCATGAAGGAGAACATTTGACTGGTAACCAGTGAAAGCAAAAATGGATAGTAACATTTTCACCTGCATAATGAGTTACTATATAATCTTTATTTAGTTGGACAAAATATCTGTGTATGAGTACTTTGCAATGCATGGTAGTATGCAATACTGGTCTTAAATCTCTAGGGAACTAAATTTGTCTCAATATTTACAGCTCTTTCACAATATTGCAACACATCGCCATATGGGGAAATCTTGTTGCTTTCTATGTCATCAATTGGATTGTCAGTGCCTTCCCATCCTCTGGCCTGTATACAATAATGTTTCGCTTATGTAGACAGCCCTCATATTGGATTACTATATTTGTAAGTAAACTTTTTCTTTTTTCTTTTTCCATGTAGTCTAGTGTTCACAATTTAGAGGCGTTTTTATTTATTTATTATTAATTTGGATGGTAGTCAACTCTATGGTTCACATACTTTCTGAATTTGAAGCTCTCTTTGGATTGGATTTTACTTTTGTCACCATGATGAACTTGCTTAACAAAAGCACAGTAAAAAAGTTGAGATAATGCTTCAGATTAGTTACTTAATCCATCTAATTTTGTATAATATAGTGTGGCTGGGCACAATGTTTTAGGAGATGATTTACTATTATACCAGCAGCATCAGAAGAAATACTTGTAGTTGGATACTTCATTTAATTGGAGAAACATTATCTGGGAGTTGATTCTTCGAATTGTTGCATGAACTCAAATTCTTTAACACTTGAAAGTGTAGATACTCTGTTGAGTTTAAATTAATTTGAAATGTCTGAGAAAAGAATGTGTCGTGTTACTTGGGACAGGTTTAGTTAGTTTTCAGATTATTCTTGACATCATTCTTTCATCATCTTTCTTTGCTGATCCAAAAATAAGCTAGTATGTTTACCATTTAAGTGAAGTTGTGAATTTTTTAAAATATTTGTTGTTTAAATATGGATCCATTCTAGTAGATCACCAAGGCTAGAAAGTGTAACACCTTGTGAAAGTCGATGCTCCCACACAAATTGATTACAAATTGACGGAAAAGTATTTACTTAAGTCTACTCGTTTTCTATATACTAAAGGTGATAAGGTGCTCCTAATTGGTATATTAAACGCTTTGTTGCACCTAATTAGATAGGATGTATGAAATGGCTCCTTTTTTATCAATTATTTTACAAGAGGAACTAATTTTGTTATTCCCTCTTTAAGTAGCAACTATAATATAAGAGAACTAATTTTGGTTTTCCTCCCCCTTCCAGATCATTGTCGCAGCTGGCATGGGTCCAGTGCTAGCTTTGAAGTACTTCAGGTATACCTACAGATCAAGTAAAATTAACATACTTCAGCAAGCCGAACGTATGGGAGGACCTATATTGACCCTGGGTAATATAGAGCCTCAGTCGAGATCCTTGGATAAAGATGTTACACCTTTATCAATTTCTCAACCCAAGAACCGTACTTCTGTCTATGAACCACTACTCTCAGATTCACCTAGTGCTACAAGACGTTCTTTTGGACCAGGGGCTCCATTTGATTTCTTTCAGTCCCAGGCCCGGTTGTCTTCAAATTATACAAGAAACTGCAAGGACAACTAATATTGACAGTTCTCCTGGCAGGACATGCGGGAATTATACAGATCACATGTAGAAAAGATATTACAGTGAGGACACTAGCTGTTGATCCGTTCTTTTCAACTTACCAGCATCTTATTCTACACATTTTCTATGTTGCGCGTGTTACTGTTACATCAAACTGCCCATGTCATGCTCAGGGCTGTATTTGGCAGCTTATGGCATAAAGATGAGGACCGATTACTGTTCCCAAGGTATGATGATGCAACACGATAGCACAATTTGATTATTGTTTGTTGGAGGAAACAGTGAAACATTTCGCAGATTCTGACACCCCATTTTTGAGGTGATATTAATTTAGGTACTCAATTAGAATGGAACCAAAGAGATATGTTTGTCATAGGAATATTCATTTCACATTTTTGTTTCTCAAGGACGATGCTATTGATTGTATCTGTATAAGATTAAGGACATCAATGAGCTGGAAACTCAATTTCAGAAAATGAAGTTCCTGTGTAACAATTGCAGTGACATTTAGAAGTCATATCGACAAAATTAGTGCTGGCATTGAGGTCTTTCACATTTGTTGAAATGCTTTTTCTTGCATTCGCTATGGATGGTCTTTCTGACATATTACACTACTAGAATAAGGATGGAAATTCAATATAGAAGTAATAAGAAAGAAATAGGTTAAAAAAATAAAAATAGAAAGGGTCTGTAAAAAGGTGTAAATGTAAAATTGACATTTCGGTGAGAACTAACTGTTTAGTATAAATTTTAATGCTGGAGCAGAAGTTGAGAACCTAAACAGGTTGTACAATTAGTTTGCGACGCAACTTTATACCTAAAGAGCGGGAACATTTAGTTTTATAAGATACTATGATTAAGTGATAAACTAAATAAGGATGCCTATTAATCACTTGTAATATATTCATAGGATTGGTGTAAGTACCCGGCTGGACAAATTTTCTTTCCTCATGTTCAGTGGCAATTAAAATTCGCTTACAGTTGTAAAAGAAAAAAGCACAAGTACTCCCCAATTATGAAGTTTATATCAACTTTACCTCTATTAATGTTCTGTCTCAGTATATGATATTGTTAGCATACATTTTGTTCACAGAAATAACGTAACTTGATGTGTATTTGACGAATTCTACTTCTACTTTTCTTTTTAATTATCTTATGATGATCCCACCGCTTATGAATAATATTGAAGCGTAAGTGAGAAGGGAAAAAATAAAAAGCTAAACGTTTTATAACTACTTTTAATTAAATGTCACCCAAAAAGTATGTCGGACATCAATTATGGGAGGACGACGAGCAAGCTATTCTTAGCGGAGTATTCCTAATCGATTATCATAAGAATTGTATCTCATTCTATATTTAGTAACTTATAATTTTAATATTTTATTTTATTTTTAATGACATCACTAGTAGGAGTGGCATGACATATTTGAGACCGTAAGATTCATTAAAGTATTAAACCATAGTCCTATAAAAATAAATTTGTGTCTTTTCCGTAATAACAAAGTGCAATCTAGATAAGAACAAACAATTTGTTTTATTCTTTTCTTGTTTGCACCAAGAAATTGCAGCCAGTTAAATTGGAAGAATATTTTCATCTTGAGGCTTTGATAATGTCGAGTTAAGCAACCAAGAAGGTATCTCAGGCAAATCACTGGTAATCTACTTCTCTCTCTCTCTGTGTTTTTTTATAACTTCGTTTTCTTTAAGATCAACATGCTTTTGACTTTGGTTGATCGCCCAAAAAATGATTCTTATCCCATCCGTCAGGTTTGTATGTACCCATGCTCCTGTTTATTATTTTCTAGATCAGGAACTATCCTTTCCGGCTGCCCCCTCCCCCTCGGCTTTGTCCTTGGGTTTGTCAACCAACCTGGCATGTTCAGATCGGAGTGCCTCGACGATGATGTAGTTGTAGTCAGAGGTGGGTGTAGAATTTTTATAATATGGGTGCACCACTAAAAAAGGGGAAAAATTAAGTATTAAGTGGGAATTGATCCTTATTCGTCTAGATAAATAACTTACATCTAATCAAGTGCACCATTTAGCCTTTTTGGAGCATGGGGTAGCACTAGGTAATATTTGATCAATTCTAAAAAAAAAAAATATGTACATAAAATACTTAGTTTGGCGGAAAGACCATGAGTTCACGTGCCCCGTACATTGGGCTATAGATACGCCCCTGGTCGTAGTAGTCCTCTTATGGGAAATCTGTTAAGATCCGCCCATGATTCATGGAACCATTCTAAAATTTTCCCGGCGTTTCTCTTAGCTTCAGAAAATTCTCCTCAACATTCTCTCTTTTAATCTTCTTTCTCTATACCAAAAAAAAAAAAAAAAAAAGAAAAAAGCTTTTCCCAGTTTGTGGGGAATAAGGTGATTCTTTGTAGTTGTAATCTGTCGTGAGACCTGCTCTTCCAGACCTACTCTGAGGAAGATGTGTAGTTATGTTGTTTAAAGAGTTTAAGATAATTACACGTAAATATCTATGAAAAATATTAAGTACTAATTGATAACATAGTGAAAATAGTAATTAACCTACTGTCACATATTAAACGACATTGATAGTCAATATTTACTATGTTAGTATATATAATTTAAATCTTATTTCAAATTGAATTAGGTTAAGTTCTTATAACAAACATGACCTCACAACNATGGCCAATTTGTAAAAATTTTGGAAATCTTGAAACAAATTCATATTAATATTCCTTTCACTGATGCTTTGTTGCAAATGCCTTCATATGCTAAATTTTTAAAAGAAATTTTGTTAAGTAAAAGAAAATTGGAAGAAGTTTCTGTGGTAATGCTTACTGAAAAATGCAGTGCTATGCTTCAAAATAAGCTACCACAAAAACTTGGTGATCCTGGTAGTTTTACCATTCCATGCACTTTGGGAGGTGTATATTTTGAAAAGGCACTTTGCGATTCTGAAATTGAAGGTAGTGATGACCTTCTAATGAAACTACTATTATGTCTCCCACCAAAACCACTTTTCATGTTCAAATTAGTATCCAAAAGGTGGATGTCCACCATTTCTAGTCCTTATTTCTCTTCCATTTGGAAGCCTAGGCCTACCTCTGGTCTCTTTGTGAGCTTATCTTCAAAGGGTAACTTCAGCATCAAATATACTTATATATCCCTTATACAACCTAAACAAAATCCAGTGGTACCTCTTCAATGCCTTGATTTTATTAAAGATTCTTGTGGAGTTGAAATTTTACAATCTTGTGGTGGTTTATTATTTCTTTGTCGATCGCGTGCAAGTGAATCTAGTTTACAATACTATGTATACAATCCAACAACAAAACATTTCTCAACATTCCCATATCCAAATCTACTCGACAAATGTCCAAGAATTTCATGCTTGAATTTGTCATTTGATCTATCTAAGTCACCATATTGCCAGGTTATCCACATCTATGGTGAGTACAGATCAAACATTGTATTCCATATTGAAACATACACCTTTGAGACCAACACTTGGAGATACTCTGGAGGTCCTTTCGTTGGTCCGGTTGGCACGAGCTTTTCTAAGGGTGTTTTCTTGAATGGTACACTTCACTGGCCTACAGACTACTCAGAAACTTCAGTATGTTATGATGTTTATGAGAAGAATATCAGAAAATTTCCAATGCCTCCACTTCAGAGTGAATGTGGTCGAAACTTGAACTACTTCGGGGAAGTTGGAGGGAAGTTGCATGCTATTGATTTTACAGAGTGTAATGCATCTAATTTTGATGTCTTTGTGATGGAAAATGACTACTCTTGTTGGTTCAAGAAGTACCATATTGATCTTGACACAGTGGCTCAATCATTTCCTGAAATGGTGGTCTATAAGCCCGATCCATGGACAGATAATACAAGAACTTTTCTCAGATATAAAGTACATTCAATCATTGAAACAGAAACACCAGATAGTCCATCTTTGGTGCTTTATATACATGATGATAAGTTCATATCCCTGAATTTGACAGATAATACGTTGTTGAAGCTGCCTGATTTAAGTAGACGATCGTCTGATCAGCAGAAATCATATTTTAGGAAGTCTCGAGCCTTCCAGTATGTTGAAAATCCATTTTGGATATAAGCAGAGGCAGATCTAGGTATGGTTCTGTGAGTTCAACTTATCTCATTTGCTTTCTGCTCCAACTATGTGTGATTAGAAGCTGCAAAACTGTACTCACAGTTTCTTATATTAATGTATTTAAATTGGAAAATTATGTAAGTAGATCAATCTTCTGAAACTTGAGGTGATTTTCGTGTGGTTTGATTAGTGAATGTACATGCCAACAATCTCTTAATATCTGCAGGAATACAACAACGTATCGGACCTGAATATGCTGGCACTTCAGGAATTCTTCAAGCTCTAGCGTCTTTGGAACACTAATTGGTATCTTTATCACATTAGCCAAAACTTATTTGTTTTTGTTCATTCCTAATGCAACAAGATGGACTTTACCGAGGCTGAGTTACTCCCACTATCCCAATTTAAATGTTTGTCTAAAAGGTGAAAAGGTTGAATCTAGAATGTTTATTCTTAAAAGAGGATTTTCATTTCTCCTAATCTTAGGTAAAAAACTAATCATCTTAGTAAAAGAATATGGAGTCTAGGCAGAAGGCTTTTGGACTCAAGGCACCAAAATAGGTGCATAGAAAACCGGGGCACCGTTTTATATATAGCGTATGTATTATTGTAATATATTAACGGGGTAACTAGCCATTAACGTATAACTCATGTATACAGAGTCTCCTTCTTATCCCAGCAGAAGGCACGACGCCCCCCCCC